AATTAACTCCAAGAATAATAATTCTCAACCCAAGCAGCAGCTCTGGCACTTCCTGCCTGACCACTGCAATGCCAATCTCAATGTCAAAGCACCGGAATTTAAGAACGAGCTGTTGGACTCAGTGAACCAAACTTATTACATACTAAGGCAGAAAATTTAACAGCACATCACTGCTGTGCAGCGGCTTGGTATTTATCTCTGAGGTACATAACAGCTTTCTCACTGAACATATGGCTTTAAGTTTATGCACAGTTTTCAACTTAAAGATTGTAACCACTGCTCATCAGATACACCACATCTTTCACAGGTCTCAAATGATACCACTTCTTTTCCTTTCTGCACAATGAGCAAAAAAAGCAATTTTGCTTTGAAACAAGAAAAAGGTCAGGAACCTTTTTTCCTCCATTTACCAAGCTTTAACAGAGTAGCAAAAATGTCTTCATTGCTTTTGTCTACATTTAAAATACCCTTTTTTAGTTACTCAATTACTTCACAGTCTACTTGCTTTGTTTGGTTAGGTTGTCTGTTATATTTTGCCATGTAATCACTCAGTCAAGTGAAAAATCCTCAGATCTACTTCACTGTGCTTTAAATTGCTTTTTTAATTTACTTTTTTTTAAATTAAGACTTTTCTTCAACTATTTGTTAATAATCAGATTTGAAAACACCATTTTACAAACAGCATAAATCATTCACTCATTTACAAAGAACTTAAAGATGTAACTTCTTTAAAAAAAACCCTCAGCAATATGCATCTCTGTTTTCCCCATCCCAATATATTCTGTTTCTGTAGTTTAAATTATCGTTAATCAGGAATATTAAAATAGCAGCCTCTGTGTTAGCTTCCATATTCTTGAGACATTGTTCTTGCTGCATATGCTCAGTAACCATCTAAAGTTTACTCATCTCTTTTTCTTTGGAACCAGAAAATCAACAGTACAGATACTCCTAACAGAAATTAGATTGCCTGAAGCTGCTGCATACTAAATAACTGACCCTTGAATAAACAGGCCTTCTTTTGGTCTTTTTTTTTTTTAAATGAAAATCCATTTATTTATATAATTTACTTAAGTTTTTAGATCTGCAGAAGTGACTTATGTAACACAGGCATATAGCATCTTTCCAAAGTTAGATTAAATTTAGATGCACAACTCCTATTCATATCGAGTGAAAGCACTGGAGGTTATTTGTAAAACACAGCGAACGAGCTCACTAAAGTCTCTGTCAGGTTTGGCTAGAGGAGAAGCACGTTTCAAGATCATTTTTTTTTCTGGAATTTGAGAAAAGATCCCAATGTAACGAGTTGAGGTGAAGCTGCACTCCATGGTATGTGACTGCCTCAGTTCTGGCTTTAGGAAGCATATCCTAGATTTCCTGTACCCAATTTCTGCCTCACTGTTTGCAGCCATAAGGGAACCCACCGGTGCGTACTGTGGCTCTCTTCCTGCAGACTCAGCCCTTTCCGTGGCAGACTCAGGGCCTGACCACAAGGTGCCCGAGCTGAGGGATGCCTGCTGGGCTGCCACAGGGCTGGCTGTGGACACGAACGGGCCGTGTGGTTAGCAGGCTGCAGCTCTTAACAAAACCGAAAGTTACGCTACTTCCAAATTTTCTCCCAGATCAAAACAGCAACAGCAAGTTTTTTGTCCAAATCCATATTTTTTCTATATGCATACAAATAAAAATAGAAATAGAGTTACACAGAGAGATTCCAAACTGGTTAGAAGTTTTGAATGCCTCTATTGATTGCCAATTTTCCCCCACTGATACTTTTGTTGCATTGTAACATTTGTTATCAAATAGTTTGAAGTGAACACTAAATAACGTGCCAGCATTTGTTTCCATCTGCAGACTTACTGTATGGATTTCAGCAATGACCACGTTGTCGGTGGAACACAAGCGTATTGCTTATTTTCATTAAAGCAAATGTTTCTTTAAAACTCCTAAATTTCGTTTAAATACAGACACCTCAAAGAAATCCCAAAGATCTGCTCGCCTTTGAAAGAAACTGCATCTCAAAGTTTTGCTTTGGTTTCCTCATCACTATTCGGTGCCCAAAAACCCTAACAATGAAGCAATGGATAAATAATAACACAAGTAAGGTTGATTCAGAGTTTTCTTTTGCAAAGCAGCTGCTACTTTATTATATTAGCCTATTGGTACCTTAATTGCTAAAACAAAAACATACCAACACTGCAACAGCTGCGCGAAGAAGGATTGCTTTTTGTTTATTAACTGAAAATACTCCAAAACAACTGAGGAAAACCAAACACTAAATCTAAAAAGTGTAACAACCCCAAAGGCTGAACGTGTGAGGTGATCTATTTTATAAAGTATAGAAGTTTCTCCTTTACTTTGAGTTAACCACTGCTAATGTTTGCTTACAGTCAAGATACAGTGATATAAAAAAAAAAAAATATTGTCTCTCTCTTCTTTGTCATTTGCTCATTTTCTAGTGATAGGGAAAATTTTCTTGGAGTACAGCAAACAACTTCAGTATCCATGTTATTAGAGAACAATTCAAGTAAATGCAATCCACATGAAAAATTACACCTCCAAGATCAAACTTTGCACGGTCAGAAAGGACATGACAGAGACGTGGATTTATACTGCAGAGTAGAAAGATTTAAGCTGTGACTTCAAAAGACAAAGTTTTTATTAGAAAAATTAGGTGAAGTTATTCCTCCTTCCATCCCTTCCTGTTTGTTTCTGCTCATAACACCTCAGTGCTTTAGTTTTAAGAAAATTTTGTAACTTTAAAGATAACGTAGTATGTTCAGGAAATATACAGACTACTCTCTTGCCATCAAAGGCTCTAGAACAGGTAGGCAAAATTCTTGATAGAAATTATTTGGATAAAGTTGATCATCAGAAAACGAAGAAGGTCCACTAAAGGATCTCTCAAGTTTCTCATTTCAATTAATAACATTTTAGTTTTAAGTGCTTCTCTATCTTCAAATTTTCAAAGTCTGAATAGTTGCAAGACACCGATTCATAGACTTTTTAAAAAAATATACAAATACGAAACCAGTAGAAGAATCTTTAAAACATTAAAATATTCAGCTATCAGTGATCTGAATATGCATAGATAATTTTAATTTTTGTTTAAGAAAATGAGACAATATGCTTTGCTTTATTCAGACCTTCTTTAATTCAGTAGTAGCTTTTCTAAAAGGTATATTTAGGGTACAGTTAGAGGGTTTTCAGAGCTTTTATTCATGGAAGAAAAGAAAGGTATCTCCCTGGCTGGTGCTTCTAAATCTCTTGTGAAAACTACAAGGGTACCACCAGTTTTTAGATGGCACTATTTGTTTACTATAACGCTGTTTAGCTTACTGAAAGAAAGCCTCCAGATACCTAAGAAGTCATGAATAAAAGAGCAAGCATTAACACACTCGCTTGAACTACAAGTTCAGCGTTAAACTGCATCATCCCTGGTTGGCTGATAGCATTCTGCAATGCCCAGACTCACCACAGGTAAATTATCGGAAATTAACCCGAGTTGCAGGTCCAGACTGCGGCTTTAGCATTTGAAAGAGGCAGTGCACACCTTAATAAAGTTCGGACAGGTACAGTCTTTACAGCAGGCTGCGTGCTTTTGGGAGCCTACACACACCGAGGTCCACCAGACCTACTTTATTTGCCTGTTTAATAGAAATGCTAGATTGCAAATTGGGTGTTAATAAATTGAATTAGCCTAAGAGACATTATACCATAAATCCGTCAAGGATTTCAGAGCTTCCAGCAGAGATATTTACTAAAA